ATTAATCAAAGTTCACATTTTCCTCGGATTTCAGCACTCACCTCTAGTAGTCGCCCATACAATCTTCTTAACTCGTCCTTGATTATACCTCCTCCAGCGTCCTCCACCTCTAAGCGCTCTTTTTTTCGCTTCCAGATATACTTTCCTCTGGAATAACGTTCCAATATAATTAAGATCTTCAGGAAATTTACACACCTGTAAGAGAAGGCTACGCCTTTATCTGAATACTGACTCGATTAAACTTTTATTTTCCTCATCCTTCCCAGACAACTTTTTCTATGACATTGAGAAAGGGCCACCGGGAATTTAGTATGCCGCCATTAAATTTCCGTATCTGTTTACATTTCCTTCCTGTGTGAGTAGTATCGCTTCCTAAGATCCCTCACCAGAAATGTTAATTTTTCCAATTTTTCAGTTCATGCATCGTGCCCTCACAGAATGTGCTCCATCGCCGCTCTTGGCGAAGTCTTCTGTATTCGCCATATACTAGTAGTCTGGTCGCATCTCCCATGCCCCATCGGATGTATTTAACCGACCACATCTGGGTTCCTATCGCCTCGAGACTGGTTTTCAATTTCGCCACTTATTTGCCTTATTCAAGGCCACATACAGGCCAGTTCTGACCGACCCGCCTACTTACCCCATCATGAAATCCGTTATACAATGCCATACACAGCTGACATTTATTTCGGCCCTGACGATGTCCGATTATAATCGATTCTATACCGCCACATGCAGGCCAGTCCTGCCCGCATTTTTCTATTTCTATATTTTTCAATCATTTTTAAATTTTGATGTGGAGCGTTTTTTCACCCCTCTCTTACCATTTTCTTAACGGACTTCCAATTCAAAAACTATGTATTGCACCTTGTACAGTAAGGACCAGGAAGGAGCACGATTCCTTTCAATACGTCCTTGGTGGTCAGTCCCTTTCAAATGTTGTGGAGCAAAGGACCTGGGCCTCCTAATGACCTCCTCACTGAAACCATCATCACAGTGTCAAAGAGCAGCCAAAAGTGCGATAAGCGTGTTATTTACGCTGAGGCAAGGATTTGTGCAGATCGATAAAGAGCTATTCGGGAAAACTTATGGGGCATTCGTCCGGTCCCGCTTAGAGTATGAAGTCCAGGCCTGGCGACCGTGGTTGAAGAAAGATTATCAACGACTGGATGGAGTACAGGCGATGGGTACGAATATGGTCAGGAATCTTCATCATTTGCCTTATGAAACCAGGCTGACCGAACTAAATCTCTTTCCTCTAAATTACAGGCAACTGCGCGGCGAACTCATCCAAACCTACAGGATTATCAGAGGCCGTGAGTGTGCCCTAGACTTTGGTACACTCTTCGAATTGGCTGGGACTGACCGTCTGCGTGGTCATCCCTTAAAACTGCAGAGGAAGCTGGTTCATTCGGACGTCCGACGGAACACCTCCTCTCACAGGGACATTGGCGCATGGAACGGACTCCCTGATGCGGTGGTTCTTTCCGAAACTGTCGAATCGTTTATGTGTTGACAAGATGCTCATTTGCTGAGAAACTACTGTACATATAATCACGATTGTTTTAGCGGCGGCAGTTTGCGCCTGGTTCACACTTACCGCTGACATTTAAACTTTCCGTATTTGTTGATGTAATTGATGACTTTATTTCTGTTTATCGATATGAATAGGGAGCTGAAGGTCAAAAGCCTCATTCCCACAATAAACTGACTTAAACTGACCAAAACTCTTGTGAATGAAGTTCAAATTCGCCACTTTAAAATAGGAGAGAAGAGAATATCTCTATCCAAGAAGGACAGGAAAAACGCGAAAGCGGTTTACAGAGTTCTTAAGCAGGCTCTTTCAGCACGTTTGTCGGTATCTGATCCGGACCATGGGATTTACATTCCTTCAGCACAAGAAGTTCCTATTTCACATTTTTTGCGTGAACTAGTTGGTTTCCATCATTGTGCTGTCTGTTTCAGTAAGGAGGTCAGCATGGCCAAAGTCCGTTTCATCTATGAAGACGGATTATAAGTTCCCCATTGTTTTCTCTTGTAAACACCACAACAGTCTATTCGTTCTTTAACCTGGTGTTGATGTGGGTGAAGAGGACTTTAGCTTACCGACGACCAGTTCCATAATCCATAATGTGACTTACGGACATTCAAGACTTATCTTGTTCCTTCGTCGGCGAAACTGTTCGCAGTGGAAAGGTAGTTTTGGCTGCCGCATACCTTCTGCAATGTTTGTTCGTTTCTGCTTATCAACGTCGTTGCATCTTACGTTAACCAGACGGCACGATTTGACTTTTAATTTTCTCATGTCGGGCAGTTTCTATGTATAACGTTGCTTATAACTATTTGACAAGTATTCGAGACTCAGTTTTGCGTTGCAAATAGTACGCTTAAAAAGTTTGCACCTATTCTATCTTAATTATGTTGGTGTGAGCTGCGAAGATAAGATATAACGCGAGAGTAGTTTTATTAAACACCTGCGCTGTATTGATTAGCCGCGCTTCTCGAATTTGTCGTTGATCTACAACGGTCTGTTTTGCTATCGTTAGGGCTTTGGTTTGCCGTCCACTATTGCACCCTAAGAACATTAGGAATTGAATTCGCGGTAGCAGAACATTCATTTTCAAAAGGTCACGCCGGCGTTTTTGTAGTGACAGACTAGTATCACAGAGGGGCGCTCACCGATCGCGCTACGGAACTCACTCGTTCCGTTGAGCCTTGGGGCTCTCCCGCAAGCCCCACTAGCAACCGCACTGGAGCGCTTAGTATAGGCAATGCTATTTTGCAAACTGATATCTTTCTGACAGTTATTTCGGCAATAACTTCTACAAATTATATCAACAAACGCTTTAGTCGTTTTGCCATTTACTTCGCACCTCTGACCTGTAATTATACTTTTTCCCAAACTTTGCGGAACGTATCGTAGCCTTTTTAAGTAGGCGTGGGGGTAAGATTTGGATTCCCGCGAAGACTTCCGTTAAAATTAGTTAAGTTGAGTGCCACTAGCTGCAAGGACGGTGGCATCTGTCAACGCGCCACCTCTCACTTAACGCGCAGGCAGCTTGCTTACCCTAACGTGTGTCGCGGACAAAGGCGGGAAGCTTCGGCCTCCTTCAGGATTTCCTAAAATAAAAAAGGGGCGAGCAAATTAAAAAAATTCATAGATTTGGAAAATACGTCTGCTATGCCCTAGGTGAGTGAACGTCATCTGCGGCTGATGTTCTTTAAAAATAAATAACACGTGCGTGGGGATTTCCCAACTATGTCGAAGCCCATGGAGAACGATCGCCATCATCCCTCCTCCCCCGAAACAACCAGTAACACCCCGTACAAAAGGAAAATGCAAACTCTTCGCGCACATTGACTATGCTACCGACCACCTGGTTGCGGAAACATCTGTCGTCCTTTGGTAGACGACGTGGAAAGTCATATGAACTCAGCGCAACCAAAAAGGGAAAAAACCAAATTCGTCTGAGAAAGTTGCCGTAATTGAAATGAAGCGTGCGGGTTACCTCGTCCATCTTGATAGATGTACACGAGAAAACTAATGCGGGACACGCGAGAGATATTCGCCGGTAACGCGCTGAAGTCCGGAGAAAAAGTCTGCCTTATCTTATAAAAGTGGCAAATTGAAGACGGCGTACGTTGAAAATCCGCAGTTGTCAAAAGGTGCGCCGTCGGATGCTGCCCGCGCACTCTACATCATAAAAAACACTTGATGACTGTGTTTGATAAAACCGCGTCATTCGCCGACGCGCGTGCCACCATTGCCAGCAGGCACATAAATTAGCGTCATCACTTAGTCGCGCGGAAAGATTATGACACTCATGTCTCCATCTGAAGCGAGGTATCATTACATAGAGAGTTCCGTAGCTCACTTTATTCCTCACAAACCAGAGGTCAGAGCATGACCCCAATATCTTCGGACAGTAATCTAATATTATCCCTCAAGAGGGGGAGCATGTTGCTGTGCTCAAAGCTTCCCGTCTAGGGAAGACCTGCGGTGAGAGCTTTGATCATTGCCAAGGCCTCTTAAAGTATTTAAATGAAGCTCAAGTATCAAACGCAGAAAGAAGAGTGGCCCTTCGAAATTCACCCAAGTATTTGTCGGTTGGATTACGGATCGAAAAGGAGGACAGATTGCTCCAAGGTGAAACGGCAATTACATTGAGTAGGCTAGAACACTGCACTTGGTTCTGACTCAAGCACCTATTGCGTTTTCAAGAATCCAGTTTGATGCCTGATAGAGCCCCTTAAGGGGCTCTTTCCCTCGAGATCCCTCGTAAGTGGACAAATTTGTCCACTGGATGTCCGCAGTCCGAGCACAGGTCTTGTTCACATATGGAAAGAATGTCTTCGGAATATATGCAACTGCTTCAGCTATCTTTGACTCAAAGTCTGTTCATTCCCTCTTCTGCCTAGCAGACAACAAAACTACGGCAATGATGCAGCCTAGGAAGGTGGTTGTATAACCAGAGGTCGGATTTGTTTGGTATCAGTCTTGTTGCTTTTGTTTTGACAACCTGATATTTTGCACTTCTCTTTGATTTTCGTGATGGTCGGGACATTTGTCCACATACTGGCATGCACAAACGTTTTTCCTCCTCATTCCCACGCAACCCAAGCTCATGAGGCCGTTCTGTCAAGTCATACTGTACTAGTCCGCTAAAATTACATCCTTTAGCCAACCTGATATTCTCCTCATCCTTCAATGCCATTAAATTTAATTGCGCTGTCTGCGTATGACTGATTTTAAGATGATCATTTTAGAACGCCGACTGAGTCGCCTTCGTCGTGGAAGAGGAATTGATTGCCAGAACAGGGTCTCGTGCTACAGCAGGAAACAAGCTCACACGAATAGTACAAAAAGACGAAATTAACTCATTGAGGCACCAGTGTAACCTGAAGCTTGCAAGCGACGAGCTTATTCGCCTCGACAAATCTGCTGAGGCAACGACCGGCGTCTTTTTGGGCCTGAGTATTACGCCAATCTCGTCTGAGAGATGTCTGAACGTAGCGACCACCAGGAATTCTATGACGACCTCGGTCAGTGGATCGAAACGCAGCGGAAAAATTACTCCAATCTGACTACCCTTCTTAATGAAAAGGCCCGAGCTTATTGGTCAGCACCGCCTTTCCCTCCTTTGGGTTCGACAGCACCCACTGTCCAGGCCTCTGTTGAACACGTCAACGCCCTCCAGCGACCTCCAAGAGCCCCCTTACAGAGGTGTAAGTTCTTACAGTGTTTGTGTATTGACACGTCTCCTCGGCATATGCCGCGTCCCCCAATTACTTTAAATTTTAAACTTTCTCTCTCACAGTTATGGTCAAGACTTAACATTTTCCAAAGTTCAGTGCCCGCTGCTTTTCTGCGGGAATCCTCACTGTGTGTTCGGGTTTATCATAACAGGGTCTATCGTCGGAGGGTAAAGACCAGATGTGACTGACTGCTGGAGTCAATTTTGTGAGATTCCCTTTGAATATATGATGCACCTTCGGAGGGCAAACCTAGGCTTAACTTTTAAGCACTGTTCTTGATGTCCTCCCGTCGCATTTCGTGTGACAGGTCGCCGTCTCTTGTAGCGGCTCGTTGGAATCGACAGTTGTGTTATTACTTCTGCACAGACGTGCGCCACATACCTAGTAACGTCCCTCCTCCCCAAATTGGTCGTGAGCTAGTACGGCGAAAAACGAAATATCTACAGTGAACAGTAAGATGTGCGATTGGTACTCGGTTCATGTTGGGTGGGCACTTGAAACAAATCTGACTAACAGAATTTTGAAAAGGTTCCAAATTCGAATTGTAAGGTTTGAGGCTACTATTGGTCCCCTAGGAGAAAGGAAATCTCAGCAAGGCCGCAGTATACAGCCCCACTCAGAGAACGAAAACCAGGCCGTCGTGGCATATTGCGTCCTCGCCTTCTTCTTTGCAATTGACACTTCCGCGCTCATGTAACTAGATGAAATGTACTCTACACCTTTGTGAAAACAAACCGGAAGAACTGCGAAGAATGCTCAACTTTTGCGTGCACTGTCAGATGCCTTTGTATCTTTATCATTCCTCGGGGATCGGGTTCTTTGGACGTGTGCTGTTTTACAAGTAGCTGCGCTGCGTTTATTCCACTCTGCTGATCCTCGTTACCCTATCGGAAATTCCATCTTCGTTACAGACGATATCCACCGTGCGTCTCACAGCAAAGTAGTCGCAAGAGGTATACTATGAACCAAGAGAGAAGGATTAGAATGACTACCGCTGGCCTAGTTATTCATAGTTTAACCGAAAACCAGTTGCTTGGAATGTTAACATGCGACAGATCGTTTTTCCAGCTTTTATTTTGGCGAAATCCCCTCCTTAGACCCACGTTATGTTCCCTGCGGTCATTTTCGTTGGCGACCAGACTTCAGTCTAAAAACATTCACCTTAAATTCTGGTCAAGGACGCAGTATGCGACCCCATTCAAGGAAGAAAAACCAGGTCATGTCATATTGCGTCCTCGCCTTTTTTTATAGTGGACGCTTACGCGCTATCGCAACAGGACAGAATGTTACCTACGTCTTTCGTGAAAAAAAACTGCGAAAAATGCTCAACTTTTGCTTGCACTGCCAGATGTTTTGGTACCCTCGACGCTTCTCAGGGATAAAGTTCCTGGAACGTGCGCTCATTTGCAATTAGCTGTAGAGAAACTTAGTTCGAGGACACAATATGCCGCCTCAACATTTATCCGAATGCTTACCAGATATCGCGCTCTCCTTTCGGCCTTTTACCCCTGTCCATAAAACTCGTATTACACGATGACCTGGTTCTGTTCCCTGAGTGTGGTTGCATACTGCGTCCTTGCCGAGATCTCACTTCTATATTGGTCGCGGGGTCCGTTCGAAATTCCGCACTGTGCATATTAATATGAAGCGCCACAATTTTCCCATCACACAGGGTCCAACGAGTTCCAACAGACGTTACTACAGGGACGTTTTGAGCGTCACTGTTGCTGCTCGAGGCTGGGACGTTGTTGCCTTGGGTGCAAAACCAAGCATATCCTCCTCTTCCACAAGATCTCAGAAACGTCATGAGACCCATTTCAGCAGAACTCACTTGTTATCTGATATTTTTACTGCTTTTCTGTCTAATTGGCGCCAAATTGCTAGACTTTGTTCACAAGATTTAGGCCAATACGTGCTACTCCTGAACTTCCAGCAACTTAAATTGCAGATCTCGACGGAAAAGTAAGCATAAAAGGAGTAGGTCGGAAAGAACGAAGGCACCTAACTTTTAGGTGGACGTAAGGACCGATTTTATCATTTGTCTATTCGTCTATATGCTTCATCCCGCTTTTTTCCCAGATCGGCGCTTTCGATTGGCCCCGCTTCACTCACGTCTGCTTGCGGAAGCCGTAGACCTCGTGCTAATGTATCTGCTTAAAATCACGCTTTTGCGCCTCGTAGGCGGTCAGGGACTGTTTTCGTAAGCCCTCCCCTTTGCCATGTATACGACTGTTTAGTCAGACAATTTATTGGATTTCTGCCCTACGACATACTGAACAGCCTGCCTGGCTATCGTTTCATGCGCATTTTCTACTCGTGGGCCTTTATTGCTACGCCCGAGGATGATCTGGACTTCTACATACAGCTGCTCAAGACCTACGAGGAGTTTATCCGACCTCTTCAAAGCGATGCACTACTGCTGTCTAACGTCCTGTGGCTCTTCCTACGAGTGGTCTGTGAGGTAGGTTTATTTTCTACAGCTGAGGTATACTTTTAAAGACTCAAGTCCGAAGTCGGACCGTGCACATACAAATTGAGGATTTCAAAATTGCGAAAACCACTCGATGAGCACTCACCCAGAACTGTGTTTCTCCCACCCTAGGGGTATAGATGCGCCTCCGTTTTGAGGGAGTTCCTCTTAGTATTGACTGGCCAGCTTGGGCGAATTTTTCTGTTTTTTGCTCTTGTGAAGTCTGATTATTCAAATGTCGCACTTCGTCACTTGGCACTTAGCCCTTTTTACTTTCACGCTTGCCTGGACTTTCATAGAGTTGATTGGGTGCTGTACGCTAAGCGCATCGCGGACGATCGCCTCCCGTCGCAGTCGTTAAACTGCGACATCCGGACTGCATTGGTTTGTTTAGCGTGCCACAGATGCCTCAGAGGTCATCATTCACTAACTTCACTCACGCCACCTGGACGTAGCCGCAAGCTGAAACCGTATTTGGGCCAGATGCCATCACAGAGGACGTCAATGTTCGGTTCAGCAAGGCATACGTCAAGTCCCCTGGACTTTCAAACTACTGTATTTTCGTCCCTTATGGGCCACCACCACCACCACCACCACCACCACCACCACCAACACCAACACCAACACCAACACCAACACCAACACCAACACCAACACCAACACCAACACCAACACCAACACCAACACCAACACCACCAAAGAGACCAATTCAACTAGTTAGGTGCGACTACAATCCATTCAGTAATTCCACCGCTAGTGCATGGGAATTGGGCTAAATTCCAAGTGGGCTAGAGTTGGGGTTGAACTAGGGGGAGTAGGATATTTGTCCCCGTATCGAACCCTTCCAGCCTCTGCCATTGCATCTTTATTGGCTCGGCTGGCGACGTCAGATCCCTAACAATCTCTGAGTTGCTGCATGCATAGTAAACTTTCTGCCATTTTCATTTACACACGCCCGTATGCATCATTAGTGGTCAGACGCCCCCCCCCCCTCCCCTAGGTTGGTTAAGTTAGAAAGCCCAGAAACGACTTACGTCTACAGACGCATTCTTTTTCTTGCCCCAGATTTTCCTGCTCAGTCATCCTTTGCTCGGATTCGGCCCTGGCGGCTGCACGATTGGAAAGTATCTCTTCAACCTTCGGGTTGTATCCTGCCGTAGCCTGATTCGCCTGCCGGATGCAGTTGAGGTTTCACCCGCCGGAGACCCGGGCCTACTAAGGTGAGTTGTTGTACACTAGCTGTGCATAGCTTAGTTTAACAGTTTTACAACCCCACTTAATTAATCTTTTCGAAAAGAAAACGCATTTCGGCTGGCATTTCATGATTTAGCCCATCTACTGTACATACTGGCATATAACTGAGGCCTTCAACTACAACCGACCAAGTTTTTTGCCTGTAAAATCTCACAACGCTCATCATTGATTGCACAGGTCGTTCCTGCGGGCTATGTTAAAGAATTCCAGCGTAATTCTCATCTCCTCGGTCCTACAACTTTTCCTCACCGGCGATCAAATCTTCTGCTATGACATTGTCGCCTGCACGGTTGTGGTTGAGATCTCCGACGACGAGGCCAACGGCATGGCCGAGTTCCAGTAACCAACCCCCCCCCCTCTGGCCAGCTTTCAACGCCTACGCTCCGCGTAAGTTTCATGCAATCAGCCACCAAGCGTTAAAAGCTCCCCGATGTTTTGAGCAAGACAACATTACCACGGGCGATCGGCTGCCTGCTGTCGCGTCGGTCCTGTAAAGAAGACTAGTTGGTGCGCGTACGTTTACGTTCAGTGAATTCTCGTCAGGTATGGCCGGAAAAAGGCGAAACTCGAAGCATAAGCAGCGCCATTCTCGCGCATGTCGTTGATTACAAACAGTATATGGACCCCGGTGAAGATTCTCTCGAGTTAACCTTAGCTGCTGGGCCAGCGTCTGTTAGCAACAGCAGAAGCAGCCGCAACCAACTTGCGAAAACCGGCCTCGTGCGCTCAGAAGAATCTCGTCCAGGCTCCGCGCTTACCTTGCTCCCACCCCAAATGTGTTTTTAAAACGAACTTTAATCTAATTTTTTTAGTCACTGACATGTTTCACGGGACGCGTTTCTCATGGAAATGTACTGGCCTGACGAGGATTTATTGAGAGTAAGTGTATGCTCGCCAACTAGTCCTCCGAATACTGTCATTAAGATTTTCCCGACTAAAACAGGTCAGAAAAATGTCCAAATTTTTGTATCACCATAAAGTCTTCACTTTAATTTCAACTCCGGGCACTGTTTTTGCAAAGCTAGCTTAAGTAACTTATGCATACTTTTAAGCTGACTGGGATCGGCATTTATACGTCTTCTGTCCGTCATATCCAGGCCCCGGGCTTGATAGACCGAAGTACAGACTTGAGTTTATGAGCTACGTCCATTTAAGCAAGGGGTGGGGACAGATCTTTCGTCGGACACGGGGACTCCTATCCCCCATCTCCTAATCTTAACTCTAGCCCCTCTGAAATGCAGGGCAAGGCCATTTGCAATGCGGAGGGCCCATATTCCTGTGCCAAACCAAATCTTTCAGCCAAACGATATTTGAGTCACCGAAACCGCGTATCGGAGTCCTGGGCTCCGTACGCGCATGATGCCTCTGTTGCCATCCAGCGAACGAACGAGGAAGTTCCATAGCGCGGTCGGTGAACGCCTTCCTACCATTGTATGTTCCTGATCGCAACCAACAGGACAACGAACCCCTGGCTCAGTGGTAAGTGGCGTTGCACTTCTAACTAACAGGTCGCGGGGTCGACCCCTGTGGTGTTTCACACTCCGAGGTTGGATGTGACAGGCTGACGACGGCTAATGAGCCAGAAATTGCCATTCCAGTGTCCTCGTTTGCCGCAACGATTATGGCGACCGCAAACCTAGCTTTTAGGCGAGCGACAACAACGGCAATAAAAGTATTGAGCCTCAGTCGTAGCCATCCAGGAAGCCACAAATGCAGCTGCGTAATTGCGCTGTGTTGGCGAGTTGAAACGCACTGCGGTGGACCAGGTTGCTGAGTTACCGGAACACCAACGGGCGCTGAGAGCGAATGGCATCCGCCCAATTTCCTAAACGAGACGAAAGACCAGGTAACATTGGTCCCAAATTTTGCCAAGAACGTCTCGGAAGCCGCTCGCACTTGGAGTTGTATGCAGACCAGGGGCAACCATCAGGAGCCGAGTCATAAGACCTAAGGACCCAGTAATACCGGACCTGGTGCAGTTGCGGACAGAATAACTGCTGGTAAAGGTTTACCGGCACCGTTACAACTAGCATGTGCCGTAAGTGGGTGTTGGTGAGTGCAGTTCTGAAAAACACCCTTGTAATCACAAACCAGATTAATTCGTGCCTGTCCCAACAGTAGTCGCGAGTACCAGCTTGGAGGAAATATGGCCTGCTGTAGTAGGTGGATGTGGGATTGTGCTGATCGGCGCTTTGTTAGATGACAGGCAGCATTCACCATTTCGTAGTGCCGTTAAAGCTTGTGGACTTTTTATAGGTAGATGATTGGTTACCTCGATGCGCAGCTACGCCAAAAAGATGGTGATGCTGCCTCGTGTCTGCTCATTCCGCTGTTAGCCTTATCTGAAGACAGACTTCTTATTTGTCATCTAGGTTGACAGGTACACCCCGTCCTTCTGGGTTTCTGCCTGTTGCTTACACACATGGGCGATCCCGGTGTCAGTTTAGAAATGAATTTCCTTGCCTTGGCAGACAAAGAGGGGAAGTCAGGCTGCCGTTTGTTCGAATAGGCTATCGATTAGAGCACACCTCGTGTCAACCGCCCGTCAAACCATTCCGACGGTCCGTCCCTACAGACTCACTCATGCACGTTACTTACGTTTTGCAAGTAGGCAGTTTTGCCTGATATTTTTGGTTACACGCCCTCATGTCTTGCCAGTCCCCTAAACCCATTTCAACGGCAGGCATCTAGGGGAAGCTTACTTAGAATCTAACCTCGTCACCAAGCACTTCGTGAATGAAAAGTTCGTGTTCTTGGCTGTCCCTATCCGCTTTTCTTTCAGGTAGCGCAACTTACAAAACTTGAAGGGCGCACCAACCAAACGTGCCCAGAACTCCATTTCATTGGGTAATAACTGGCACTAGTAGCAGTCGGCAATGCTCCCCAGGTCAACTGTGGCGACTGCCAGAGGCATTTTCCCGCCAAAATTCAACCAATCAACACAACGAGACGTTTGCGCTCTGTCGACACGTACCCCCGAATTATCCCTCCTCTAACTTCTACGTTCTGCACCCACAACAAATCCAGCTATCCTCTGCTATCTCCGCCAACAACACCCGCTCTCTTTTCTGCGCTCGTTTTTTGACTTTATCTGTCTCTCATTTTGGACAAAAAACAGCAAAGTTGAGCTTCTTTCTTGTATCAGCTTTAAAAAAAGGAGATCTTGGTTAATAGTCGGCAAAAAGTGTACACATATACAAATAACTTTTAAAATTAAGCGTTACATATTTGGTCATCAGTGGAAGTGGATAGGGGAAGGAGAGGTGGAATCAGAATACGGGGATGTTGTTTCGAGGGGTGGTTACCAAGTCATCGTCAAGCGTCATGATGGACTAGAGAAATTTAAAAAAAAACACCGGGTATTAGCATAATGAGTAAGCCCATACAGCGTCCATAGCTCAGACAAAAGAATTTACGAGGGACTCTCTGCACCTCAGCCTCCCCCAGAGGGTGCCTCCGGGTCTCAGGTACGAGCTAGTGACGACTCGATGGGACCGAACAAATACAAGGCGACAGGTGACGGGCGTTTCTGGACGCAGGCCGTAGAAATTCGGTTAATCGGAGTAAAACTTACACATGTTGCGCCCACAGAGTCGATTCTGCAAACTACCAACTGGAAATGGCCTAGGTTGGGCTAGTCACTCCCGGGGAGAGCGACTACCGAAGCAGAAGTCAGGTTTGATCTCCTTTACGAGGGCGCTTGTGCGCGATATAGTTGTGATCATGCCTGATCTGGCTGGCCTCGATGTCGCGGGTCGTACATCCCCGCGTCGGTGGACTTGAACGACCTGGACCATTCTCCAGCCATGAAGATCGAATACCGGTGGTCCAGTAACTGAGCCAGGCACCCACTTCGACGCCTCCAGGCGGGCAACACAGCACTGAGCTCATGGCGCGGACAATGAAGAACACGCCCAAACCGTCTCAGCCGTCTTTCACGGATGACCTGACATCCTCGACAGAGGAGTCCCTAATTCTTCTTATCGAGACTACCTCAGCGTTAGGTGACTTCGATTGGGTCAAAGGGCAGTCAGACATTTCTGACCCATTGGGTGGTGATCGTCTAATCGGACTGTCAGCTGGGATATGGAGAAATGAGGCTTACAGAGACCGCCATCAGCGGAGGGACATAAATGCTTCACTGGAGTTGCAGTACACCGATCTCTGCGCGTACGCCCAACAGGAGCGACTGTCGGAACATCGGACAAGGCAAAGAGATAGCAAGAATGACAGTAACACGTAGCCAAGGTGGAAACCTACCATAAAGGAGAAGAACATGGAAATTGAGGAGAGAAAGTGCCAGACGTCGTGGACATCATAGAAGCCAAGCAGGATGCAGGGACGATTGAGGGCACGCGACTGTGCTGGAGTGACCTACAAGGAGCGGGAGGTAGCATGAGAAAAGTGACAGATTCCGTTTGTCAGGCATAATCTAACTTCGACCGCTCTGCTCATGCAGTCCCTGCCGTGCCAGTGAGCACTGTCCTCTCCAAAAAACTTGAACACATCGGTTTCAATGCGAGTGCAGAAGTGCGAAGTCCAGAATCAACCTGTACTGTACTGCCGATGATAACTGCCCGCGAACTCTATTTGGCCAAGGTGATCGGATGGAATAATGTTTCGAAGATTGGGTAGGAGAGGTCCGCTTAAGGGGCTGGAAAACGATTTCAGGGATGACGGCTTTAACTCTCAGGGCCCGTCAGAGGAGGGTGCCGCGCCGGAATCGGGCATCATCAAATTCCGGTGAACAAAGTCCTCATCTAAGCTTAGTTGTGTTTGGTGCAGTCGCAAGGCATCAGCTATAAGCCTTGATTCAGACGCGGCAGGGTGAGAAGCGATCGAACCGAGGCGGTTAACGGTCCTCTGACAACAGCAGCCCTATCGAGAGCAGCCGATGGCGTTAGAACGGCGCTGACACGACCAATCCGGTCAGGCCTTGCGGTTTGGGCGTGAAGGCCGCCAGTGAGTCAAAAACTACTATTCCGGTTCCTTGTTGACAATGCTACTCATCGATTGCTCGACAGTCTGCGTGCGTCCCAGATCGGAGCTCAATGGCGGTCAGGCTAAGTCGACAGTCGCGTGCTTCTGAATGTCCCTGAACGTGAACAATGGAGCGCCAGCCAGTGTTTCAACTGATGGAGCGTCAAACTCGGACCGGCTGTCTCCTCGACTAGAACAGGGGAAATGGCAGGCTAACGATGGAAGAAGGCAAGTCAGAAATGTTCATCCCGTACAGTGACGACGCTCCTGCTGACACGATGCCTTACTTCACTAGTTGTCTTAACGATTAAAGGCGACAGAATCAACCTCTTTGCCTTAATCCACCATCGGAGCTGGAGGACTTCAACTAGTGGACGGGCCGCCTGACATCTGCCAATCTAGCGCGGACTGGGATGTGCGAAGGAGTCGATGTGGCGGCTGCGAAACTTGAGCCTATGTCTGCTGTCCATCCTGCTACGCCGTCATTTAGCACACCAAATGTGGGTCTGACAACCCCCTGTCTGGCGTAGCTGCTACAGTTGAATCACTAACGGTTGCGGTTTCCGAAAGAAAAATCGTGACAGCCGCCGCCGTTCTACTACTACTACTACTACTACTACTACTACTACTACTACTACTACTACTACTACCACCACTACTACTACTACCACTACTACTACTACTACTACCACTACTACTACTACTACTACCA